ACTACTACTACTACTACTACTTAGCATTCCCTAAACCCTGACCTTTAGGACCCGACACAGTAGGCTTTTCTTGCTTGCGCATACTACCAGCACTATGACTTATGACTGTCGCAACAACACAACAAACTCTGTGCAGAATATTTAGCTACAACGTTTGACACTAGCGTTGCTCGTCGAACACCCGTGTCCAGCATGAGATTCCCTTCCGAACCGTATCTTACATTACAACGCAGCACAAGCCAACACCTAGCTACTGTACAATGGAAGTGCTTTGGTGATGAAGTCTTTCCTGGAATCTGATCACGTCAAATACACACTCTGCTGCTTGGCGACGGTGGGAGGGTGGCTGCTTCCCACTAGCGTAGCATCGTCAACCCCATGCCGGCGCCTGCTTCGGTTCCTCTTTGTGCTTGGGAGGTGTTGCCACCACGACACCTGCTCTTCGCAATTGACGTTGTCGTGACCAGCAACACCGGATTGAGAGCCGCACACATCCGAGCAACTTCTAGATCTTCCGACGACAAGGTCTGCCTCAGGTGTCTCTTGCGGACAACTTCTCGAGATGGGTTCCTCCACACAGCTCGAGGTTCTGGCGCGACCCCGACCCACCCTCGCAACGTACATGGTTGACATCTCTCCTGCCATATCTCGCATTCATGAGGACGCACCTGATCTCGTTTCCGGACGTCTCGCGTGGCCTGCACGCGTTGTGCTCGATGTGCTCGACTGTGCTTCTCGCCGACAAACCTTGGACATCGAGACGATGAATGGTCATTTACTATGACTCGCAGGATCTCACAAGTGTTCGCAGCACACAGCGCAATAAGAAATCATGAGCAGCTGTGGGACTTTGACAACTTCAGGCTGAAAAGCCGTTCAGATCGAAAGGGCCGCACCGGAGAGGCTGTGCGCGGAGTCGCGTCGAACCGTTGGGGCGATCTGGCAGTGGACAAAATCACAAGTCTGAACTGAAACAGAGCGAACTGCCAACGGTAGTGACAACCTGCAGTCGGCCCGAAACAGTCTTGTGAGTAGAATGCGGGCGCACCTCGAGGGTGAAGTGTTTGGTGCAAAGCACTTTGCCTCGAAAAGCCATGCTTCTCTAGAACTGAAGATGTCTGCCGAATCATGTCGCATCACACAGCAGCTGGATCATCCGACTCTGAGGTGGGGACACTATGTCCCGGCGCGACCTTCAGACTGTGCCCATGCTGCATGCCCTGGAGCTCCTTAAAGCATTCACTCATCAAGTCTACACAGCGAATCACAGAGCCAGCAGAATCTCAATCAAAGGCTTTCGCAATGACAGGCCGCTTCTGTGCTTGCTCAGCCTCAAGTTGTCAGAATCTGAGCAACTCTCCAAGGAAATGCATGCTCAAGCAAGGCTTCCAGCATTGATCGATGGAGAAGGCCCTGATGCAAGCTGTGTGCGACATGGCATGGTGTTCTCAACACATACCCAAGCAAAAGGTTGATGGTTGACACTGAACTTTGACAGCTTTGTGCACACCAGCTTTTTCGGAGCTATCAAACTTAAACTCGCTTCCAACCTTAGTTGACAGAGCCGGGCCTGTTCGGGTGTAGCCACGCGCAGGGATCACAATTTGCCTGCTATTTCACCGTTGCTCTGATCTCCATTGAATTGCTTGGCCACGTGCTGTTGCTCACCTCTGCTGCACCCAGGGCTCATGCCCGGCAGGTCCTCCTTACAAACACGGCAGTGAGACATGCTTCCGCTCAGCTGTTGTGTGCAGTGCCTTGCATGTGCTGTCGATGGACGAGTGAGACTTGAACTCGTCCTCCTTCAAAAAAAGCACACGTATTTTCCGCAAAAGTTTGATTTGTGTGCCAGTGGCTCCTGCGCTGGAGCCACGCAACCTGGCCAATGCATTGCGAGGGCGTGTCTGACACTGTGCCTTGACCTAACATCACCTTGCTATCACAGCCTCTGGGACGCAGCGTTGCCCAAGGGACAGAACATCCTGCAGGCACCTGTCGCAGGAACTTCCACATTAGTGCCTGTCTCTAGCAGTAACTCTTTTTGCACGGTCCTGTGCACAAAATTCCTGCTTATCCTTCACAACACTGACTCTCATCTTTGACAGGTATAACACCTATCTTAATCAAAAACGACACCTATCCTGAAAACAAAAGTAACACTCACTTACAGAAGAATTACAACAGCTTCAGGAGGCATGAAATCATGGCCCTCCAGAATCTTCCAGAGATGACCTCTACGGGCGCCATTCCCGCGGTTAACAGGCCCTAGCACAACAATAGTCACAGCTGTTTCCAAATGTCAAAGTGTCCGCCTTAATTTGCATTTCTGGACCGCCATTAAGTGTCATTAAGGCATCTCATTCCTCCTGGAAGGCCTCTCTGTTGTGATTCTTCTGCAGGGCAAGTGTTGTCATTCTTGACTGAGACAGGTGACAGTTTTGTTCAAGATAAGTGTCACTTTGGAGACATTCCACTGAAGGAGAACTGGCATTGTGCTGGAACATAAGTGTCAAACTTGTGGAGTTCTACATACAGATACCTGCTGCTGGTATGACAGAATCAGAATCGTACCCACGGAGTCAAGGACATCTGTTCTAGCCCCATGCCCCGTTGCAAGCCGTGCCTAGCGATCGAAGGCCAGCGGGGCGCTGCACGCTTTCGATGCTGTTCAGATCAGCCCTCTGCCCCCTACAACGTGCCGTGGGCAGCAGGAAACGGCATCGGCAAAGACTCCTCAACTCTGGGCCTGGTTAGTGCTGGAACACTCTTGACAGGTTTCGGACTCTGCCAGCCCCCCACACCGAAGATCGGTTACAATCTACCGGCACAGCCCCGAAGCACCACCGGGATGGGGAGGGGCTTAGGGTCTCGGTTCGTCTCAGAACCTGCCATGACATGAGCCTCTGCCGCTTGTGCTGTTGCTGCATGCAAGCAAAAGCAAAAATCACAAGATTTCACAAGCACACCCTCACCACCGTTTTTTATTTGTCCCCACATTTGTTGGCTCTGTGGAGCTTTAACTCACTATCGGCGCTCGTCCTGTCTGCTTTGTCAAAGCCTTTGCTGAATTTACAGTGCCTCAATTTGTCAGATTATTCTTTGACTCGCTCCTAGTGCCTGTCTACAGCCTCTCGGATGTGTTTGTACCTTCCGCTTTCAGTTTGGTTTGTGCGGCTGGAGCTCGTATCGTTTTGCGCTACGTTTAAGTCCGACTGTGCATCAGGTGTGTGAGTTTTGCTCTTGGCAAGCTGGAATCGCAAGAGACCAACTTCAAGTGCTCTCCTTGTTAGTGTTACAAGCCTACAGACCTAAATAACCGGATTGTGCGGCCTTTGCATGGTTCTCCCAGATTTTTGTTGTTGGTACGAGTGTCGGTCTGCAGGGTGTCGCGTGTTCTGAATCCATTTAACTTTCCTCTGCTGATGAGATACGTGATGGCTCCTCAGCGGTGAGACGGCTTGTGCGACGGCCTTGTGTGCACCATTGTTTGGCGTCTTAGTGTGAGGCCATATCGGATTTGGCTTTGTACATTGGCTGAGGCCAGTCATGGCAAGACGCCACCAGTAGCGGCTTGCGGTGCCTTGGGACGAATACTTCACCTGCGAGAACATGTGGCGCAGTACACGCAAAGTACTACGTCACACGGACCTACCTGACTATCTAAAGATTCGAAAGCCGAAAGCTCCAACCGCTTCGGATCCAAAGACGGAGCGCTGCTTGGCAGTGCCCTCCTCACTAGTCCTCCAAGGCCGAGCAGTCTTTGAAAGCACCGCCCTTCTGCCAGTGCGCCTCACCATCTCATCGTTTCGTTTAGGTCTTCGGGCTGGATACCGGTCTTGCATCATGTAAGTCGCACCTCGACGGAGAGCGTGAACTGCGCTTGCTGGATTCCAAGCAACTTTAGGACCTGCGACAGCCAGGCCAACGTGGAGCAAAGCAGCTTGCACACAACCCTCACCGTGACTCAGAGCACCTGCGCTGCATCTGCAGAGAGCTCCTGCTCACCATAACGAACGACGGAAAGCTGCGCTCACCTGGTTCCGGCCCCCTCCCGGGTCCTTGCCAGCCGTACATACGGTATGGTCCCCCAGCAGGTGGATCTTGGCCTTCGTTGAACCGACACGTCTATTTTGCCCTCAATCGGGACAGGCTGGTGCTTCACTCGGCTGCTACACCCACATTGACCCACATCACAGGTATCAGCGCTGCTGCAAGAGTTTGGGTAGCAAAACAGATCTGCACCTCTTTGAGAACCGTCGGAAGGCCCAGCTGCCTCAGATGGGCCTGGCAGTTTGTAGTTCCGAAGCAATGTTCACGTTTGCTGAGATCGTCGGAATCTCGTGCCAGGAAATTCGGAACGCGGAATGGCGCTCACAGGTTCTTCGTGCGTACATGTATGGATGCACGACCGCCCTGCACTTTTGCGCAGAACTTCACAGCAGGGCATCATCATCATCATCATCATCATCATCATCATCACGGGATAAAGAACAACAGATCGCGGCTGCACGCTGGTCGCTAGTGTTGTTTTTTTTTCCGTTCAGCCCGGTCGCAGCGGTAAAGTCTGCGGTCGTGCCATCAGGCGGAGGAAATATGGAGGGCGAGGAGGATGGGCACAAACAGTTACACAATGGAAAATTCGTCAAGCTCCAAAGCTTTTCTGCGTTATCACTTGCTTCCTGGTGAGGCACATCTGCGTTCCATCGGTGTGGTCTTGATCTGGACTTCGACTTTTCAAGACTGCAGGGTGAGCTTAGCCTCAAAACTCAAGGACGTGTGTTCCAGGCTAAGAAATCCTGGCACCCACCAACAATGCCATCCACGAAAACGGAACGGTATTAGCTTATTAGCCTTCAAACCAACATTGACCGACTCAGACGAAGAGACAGGTGTGATCCTGCATCTTCCTGCATAAACTTGGTTAAAACACATCAGCCCGCACCAACACAGGGATTACAAACGCTACATGCGTGATGCCCAGATCACCCATTTCAGAGATTCATCCACGACGGAGAGAAGGCAAGCTGCCAGACATCCCAAGCATTGCATGGACGTCTTTCCGGACTCGGTCCGATCATGCCCGGCTTCTGAAAACCCACCGATGCATCAAAGAAGCCTGAAGCTTGTCATTTACTCTGTGCCAAGATGATCCGACCACGACTGCAAAGCATGACACAAGCTGCCTAACGCAGAGAGGCTTTTAGCTACCGGTGCCTGAAGCCTCTTAGTTGCCGGGCTCTCGGCATGCTGTGAATGTGTTCCCAGCTCCTGAAGGACGGTGTAAACTTCACGAGCCAACTGAGTTGACCGTGAAGGTCCCAAGGAGGGCTTCCATCAATAGGATCGCATGTGGGTTCTGTTCTGAAAGTTGTTGTGAGTGCCAGCTTGGAGTAAGACACCCAAACCGTCGGATGGCGACGGTTTGTGCGGCGGAGCCAAAAACAGAGGAGATCGAGAGGCCGATTGAGGACATTGGTTAGCAAAGCCAATGGCATAGCTGTGCCGCAGTTTTTCCTATTCTGTGAGGCCTGCCATCCTGGCTTCCAACCGGCAGAGTAGTGAAGCGTAACTGATCTGGGTGTGCAGGGGCTGCTGCTTTATCTGTCTACACTCGCATCGGAAACAACCCCCCTGGCGATGCGCACAGCTGTCGGTTTACTGAGGCCGTTTTACAGTTCCTCCAAGACAATAGGCTGACTATCCTCGGAAGACGAGGACAGACTCAAAGTTCGATGCTGTCGTCCAGCTCTGAATCGACCCTGCCCCTCCCAGATACACGGTCGCTTCGGCTTTAGCTTCAACAGCTTTGTAAACCTCGTACGAGGACATTTAATCGCTGTCTCCACGACTTTATGCTCTCGCACTCAGTCACCTCGATGGAGTGTGGCAGGCTCGCGAGCGCATCGGTCCCTGCAGTCAGCGGAGCACTGATGTGAAATCTGTTAACAGAAGGCTTGCCTTTTGGCAGCACCACCGTGTCAGTTGCCAGAGAGCCACTCCGAGCAAAATCCTCGGTCCAGCTTTTTCGAGACATCCCACCGCAGCAAAATGGTACAATGCAACAGCTGGCTCAGGCTACCGCACTGGGCCGATAGGCTGCAAAGGCGGATTCCACCTGTGATACACCAGTACATCAGGCAAGCAAGACTGCCACGCAAGGTGCACCTCTTCGGGCGTCGAGTTTGTGAACAGCAGAGCCTCGAATGTACAGGTCGTTGCTGATGCTCGGATGGAAGCATGTGTAAGTCCGCAACACAATGACCACTAATCATTTCTGCAATCTTATGTACGTTGTCCTGCCGGAGATGTGAATTCGACACACATGGAATGGAAGTGGTGGGATGGCTCTGCACCAGGCTCTCCTGGCACTCGCTTTCAGGGCTCATACCCAGGGCAGTCTGCATGACCTGCCATCATGGGCAGTCCAGACACACTGCATCTGCCAAAACGCTGCCGATCCTTGACCTTCCTTCCCAATTCGCGTCCGGGTGCCTTGTTCTTGGCGCAAACCAGCTTTCCGGGTCTGAGACGTTTTCTAATCTCCTGTTGGTCTGCATTCTAATGGGAACCCTCTTCAAAGGCCGGCTGCCGTCCTGCATGAACTGATTGCGCTCGTTTTCGATGGAAACCAAGAAAAGCCTGGAGAACTCCTCGCAGGACCTCCGGCAGAAGAGGACTTCTCATATGCAACGCCCCTGAGCTAGAATGTCTGCACGTGCTCTACAGCTAAGTCAGCGACTCACGGATGCCATCGATGAGCTCGTCTTTCTTTTCCTGCTGCAGTGTGGACGCGAGTTGGCATGGACCTGGAGAGGCTGCCAGTCCATGACCTTCGGTCTTTTCTTGACCTTGGTCAAGGTGATGACCTTGTTCCTTTTGGACCTTAACTTTGAGGTGTAGTGAGCAGGAAAGCCGCAACAAATTGAACCCAGGCCACTTCAAAAGTGTCTCTGCACAAGCAACGAAAGCTTTTTCGCTTGACAGGAGTTCTGGAGTCTTTGTCTGGGTCGACTGTTAGATCGGAAAATCCGCATCCTGGCTCAAGCCATGAGATGCGCATGTCTGAACAACCTCTGTACAAATGCCTACGTCACTGTACCTCTCTTCAGACCGGAACGAAGAAAATCGTAGGGATCATGATTCATGATCCATGACCCATGCATGCCAAACCCAACGGTCTGAGAGAGGCTTAAATGCTGCCTTCAAGGCTGCACATTTCACCTCTGTGGCCTGCATCGAACTCAGCTCGACTCCAGAGATACTTTGGCTAAAGCACGGTTGCTGATCTCGCCCTGCCTTAGGGGATGGCCAGATCCTTCTCCACCTTGAACTTCTTCATAAGTTCCTTCACCTTGCCAGACTTCTTTGCCTTGCATAGGGGTATGTTCTGGCTGTCGCATAACCGAAACAGCTCGCTCGTGCGACCGCCAAGAGAAGCCTCTTCGATGAACTCGCTGAGCAGCTTGAAACCCTGCTCCCGGCCTGGACAGCTCTGCTTTAGGAAGCCAAGAGGCTGAAAAGTTGAAAAGAAGCCGCAAGCTCTATGCCACAGCTGCAGCTGTCCCGCTAGAAACTGTGCAGGAACTCGGCAAGGATTCGCAATCCCGTCACCTGCCTTTCTTCGTGGCGGCGGCCTGCTCAACAGCCATGAACTTTCCAGGGAGCAGGCGCGTGCCTGCCACTGAGCAGCCCTCAACACGACTCAAAGGCACAACAGAGTACACGTCTTCTGCCTTGCTCCCGCCTGGTCGCTTGGCACCATCCTTCTTCAGCTTTGGTCGTAACCCGGCAACTGCTTCCATTGCCGTCTCTTTGAACTGCTCGTACCTGCATCCCCGACACCCTGCTCGACGACTATGCACAAATCTGCAAGCGGGGTTTGGAAACCTTCGATTCTCAGACGAGTGTCGTGGCATCGTGGCCCTTGATTTTCTCGAGAGTGGCATTTTTCAGGTTGCGCTCTAGCCACAGGACCTTGGAGTAGAGAAGCACATGTACAAGATGCAAGGAAAGGGTGCTCTGGTGCCATCTCTGACCCCTGCATGATTGCGGACCAGTCACATAAGCTGCCCCTTCACAACCAGCAATTCTCACACCGGCTTTGTCCACTTCGGCACAAGTGCGAAGACCTGAAGTGGTTGGAACTGCCTTAGATGGAATCAGTCTGAGGTTCAAGGGAGTGCAACCAAGCTGGCAGTGCAAAAGTGCGCCAAACATGCAGCTAGGATGCGTAGGTGGCCTCGATCTGGCAGTAAGGAGCAGTAAATTCAATGAACTCTGCTCGCGCAGGATCAGCACCAATCATCGCCACGTCCCACTTGTCTTCCTTCCTCAAGTTTGGATGTTGAGCATGCCGCGAGCTCTGTTGTAGGAGGTTGCTCAGGCTCCGTCGCATCATCAGCCAGCTTGTCAGCAGACTCGTAAGGAACGAACCTTTGTAAATCTCCCGAAAGCCTTTAGAACAGCCGCCACAGCTTTGCAATCACAGTTGACATGTGCCAGCAGCCCTGGGATCCGGACGACCCTTGCTACTAAATTTAAAGATCTTGAGTGCAAAGGGACTTCGTGTCCAACCAGCATGGCCGGGATGTTTCTAAGACTACGACTAGGAGAATCTCTGACCCTACAGTAGTCACTAGCCTAAGCAGGCATTCCAGGATATTCCAGGGATTAGCAAATGCTTCGTCGAAGATACTCCACGGGAACTCCGAGCTTCTCGGCAAACGCTGCACCCATGGATGGCGCCAAGCCCTGCAAGGCTGCTCACCGCAAACTGACAGAATCTGACAGTTCTGCGCCCAACAATACCTACGAATACCTACGACCTACGAGCCATGGAACGACCTTCGGGACAGAATGCCACTCCGCAGCAGGCGACCGAAGACCATGCTGACAAGTGAGGCATTCGCGCCTCTGGCTCGCCGCTGGCGGACTTGCCACTTACCAAAAGCTCGTTTCGCCTCGACAGAATTGGATTCATTTTCGGTGTCCATCGTCTCAAGCCAAACGAGACTTGTGATCAGTACAGCAATGGTACAAGAACCACCGGCAACAACGCCAAATGGGCTCCGTTGCTGGCAGCAGACAGAAACTGAGCGTGCTGCATGTTCAGAGCAACACGGAGTTTTCCTGTTGGTGCCATCTCCTTCGAACTGGTGTTGCGTAAGGCTGGCAGCAGAAGCACACGGCTTGTGTGACTCCAAGCAGACCTTGACGACATCTGGTGGCGCCGCACAGGCTGCCGCCAGGACTTGCCGCGCCAGGACTTGTGCACGGTGCATGGTGCTGATCGCCCAGCTTGGGCTTTAAGCGAGCCACAAGTCTGCCGGTGGAGGCGTCGGAGACAAGACCCGTCACAGTGCAACATGCAACTAATAAAAAGGTGGACAACTCCTTAGCCGGCTTCGTTTGCAACCCCTCAGCTCCAGACTTTGGCATGGCACAGTTCCGGCAAAACCGCCGCTTGAACCGGAGCTACGGGCATTAAAGGAGTTGGGAAGCGTCCACCCCAACAGCTGTCCTCGACCCGTCTGAAGCAGACATCGACGGTCGCCCACCGCCCGCACTCTCAAATCCGCACCCCCATCCATTTGTTTTGGTTACACACGAGGGTGTAATGGTCGTCATGCTATCTACATTAGTTAGTCTTTTTTCGTCTTTCTTTGCATATGCAATGCAACGCGACGATAACTGTTTCACTGTGTGCCTCGAAGGTACCAGTACAGTACTGCTGATGCTCACCGACTGGGGTTTAGGAACGCATGAAGTAACAGCCTTCTTGGTGCAAGATCAAACCCGCTTACGTCCCAGGAGCTTGGAGAGCTTGGCAACGGTAGGAGCAGCTTTCCATGCCTGATTTCTGCTGTCTCAAACATCGTAGCGCACTTCGAGTCCGCATTCGACGGGACCCCGAGATGGAGCTATGACTTATTGGCTGAGGCGGCCTGACTGTCTCTATGCTGCACTACAGCTGAAATCCTCGCAGGTTCAATTTCGAGGCCTGAGGGATTGGGGTGCAAGGAGCGCCCTTGCTCGAGGAGGCCTGTGTAGGAGTTTGCTGAACCGAATCGGGCCATCGATACACGCAGGTTCCTCCTGCGAACATGTGTTGCGGTGATGGGCTGAAGCTCGATGCTTCAATGCCTTCGTGGGATAGTAGTACAGTCGTGTGCATCGATTTTGAGAGGATATGACCTATCTCGTCAAGCATCTCGCTAAATATGCTGAATCCGCGGGCCGAATCCTAAGTTGCTGCATGCTGACTTGTTCCTTCTGTAGACAGGCTCATGCAAGACTGGTTTACTAAGCACTCACTAGCAGTTTGCTGAAGTAGGACGAACACCACATCAAGATCAAAGTTGCACGAGTATGTTTACCGATTGCCCATGACTGGAGCAACGCGATGCCAGTACTTTATCAAAATACCCGGCACACATACCACCGACATGTTGTACTTCCCTCTCGCGATAGGGCACGGCCCTACGAGGAAAGGTTTTGGGTCTACCAACGATTACCCAACGTGCGGACCTCCACCAAACTCCCAAACTTCACGACTTACGGGCAGTGATTGCTGCGCCAGGGGATGCTCGTGGGGCAGATTTCTGCCAAGGAAACATCGTCCAATGCGAAAACGAGAACCCATGGAAAGTCTCCTCGGATCCCAGGACATCGAGGCCCTGGGCTGACCAAGAAGATCTCTGACGAGTTCGAAGCCAGTGCGCGCTTTTGACTCAAGCCGCGCAGAAATCTGCCGCTGTGCCACAGGACCACAAGTCCGACAACAAGCGCAATCTCCAAACACCATGCTCCACTATGGCTGGGTAGCCACGTAGTACACAGCGTCAGACGCCCAGCAAAGCATCGTGGTAGGCGGCGAGGCCTTCTTCGAGTGTTTCGGCCGATGTGCTGTAAGCTCGCAAGACAGGATTAGGGAGGTACTTGCCTAGCGTCTCTTCGCCGTTCCCACCGTTCGCCTGCAGCGAAGAGAGACAGGGCAGCGAGCATTCCGTTTTGGCGCAAGTCGCAAACACGACGCCTCCGCTCTGGCTGGGGCCGTCTCCGGCTCCATCACGGCTTCCCCTGGCAGATCTCCCAAGTCGCAATCGGCCCACTTCTGGGGCCCCACGGGCCCCTCGACATCCCCGCACGATCCCTCGACGTGCAGCGACCTGGGCCTTTCTCCTCGGCTCCGCGTCGGGGTCTCCGCCTCTGCCGTTTCCACGGTGCCTCGCTCGTTGGGGGCTCCGACGAAGGGAGAGCAGAGCAAAGGAGCGGCAGAGGGCCTCGGCGTCGCCGTCGGCTCCCTCAGATCTTGTCACGTCCCGAAGCACTCTCAAACATTCTCAACCTTCCCAGGCGCCAACCTCGGCATCCTCACCGGAGGCCTGGCGCTCTTCCCAGTCTCGAGTGACTCTAGTGCTGGCGCTGGGATCCTACTTGGCGAAAGCAACTCTGCAAGCGCAGTTTTCGCCACAAATTTGGACGACGCCTTCACGTCGCAGTCTCACTGAGGACTTTCGGAGGGATGCTTTGAAGTGTTGAGGGGTTCGGGGCCCGTACGGCCGTAAGGGAGGTTGCCAGGAACTCATGTCCGAGGTGGAGGCGTGTACGGCGCGTACCGGACCACCGCTCTCAGACAGTCGCCGCTGTGCAAAGCCTCGATCGCTTGCTTCTGACCTCCGGCAAGACGACAAGATGAGGGCAGATGAGAGAGTGACCGGTGCAATCCGGTGCGTGCCTGCCATGCCTTCAAACCTATGAGTGATGAAGTGGTCGAGGGCGATCTCGCCTTTCATGGCCTGCACAAGCCAGAATATTGTGAACAAGCTGGTAACTGCGCCCAGATAGCAACGCAAGAGAGAAAGAGGGGGAGGGCGAGAGAGAGAGAGAGAGAGCGAGAGCGAGGGACAGAGAGACACAGAAACACAGAGACACAGAGAGAGAGAGCGAGAGCGAGAGCGAGAGCGAGAGCGAGAGCGAGAGCGAGAGCGAGAGCGAGAGCGAGAGCGAGAGCGAGCCAGAGAGGAGGAAGGAGGGAGACAGAGAGAGAGAGAGAGAGGTCTGCAAACAGCCTTGTCCACCAGCATAGGGATGGCATCTCGAGTTTTCCAGCCACCGAAGGCCGTGCCCAACCAGCGCCGACCGGTGACCAGCTGGAACGGGCGCGTTGAAAGCTCTTTGCCTTCGGCGGTTGACCAGACGTCTCTTCAGACATGCCCAACTACAAACTTGTCACGAAGAGCTCGCGGAAAGGATTGCTTCTGGCCTGCAGCGGCCACGCCAACGACGCAGCTCTGACCCCAACCTCTGTGCGAGGCCTGCACAGCGACATTCAAAACTCGCCTGGAGTCATCAATCGCACAGGACCTGCAGATGCATACATGCATACGCAAAGACGCAAACCTCCAGGCACGCCCGCATGACATCGGTGTTGCCAGTGCAATCAAAAGTGTAGTCGTATCCAAACTTGGTAGGGCTCATCTCAACCAACACCTCAGAAGTCTGCTTTTGATCAGCAGCACGTAAGCAATCATGCAGCATGCTCAAACCGAAACCGCAAGTGCCTGTTGGATGGGCTTGTCGTAGTCCTTCGGATTTACGCACTCAGTGCAGCCCAACCTTAGGTTCACAGCCCTCGCTGGGAAACATTCAGCTACAAACAGCGAACCGAAAATTCAGAGCTACTCTGTTAGCCGAGCTGCTGCTTTGCGATGTCGAATTTCTTGGGGTTGGTGTCAACTCCAACGATTTTGGTGCAGTTCACTGCCTTACAGCCTTGAATCACCGCCAGACCCACGGCTCCAAGGCCGAAGACGACCACGGTGGAGAAGGGATCAACCTGAAGGGTTCAGGGTTTAGGGTTTAGGGGTTTAGGGTTTAGGGTTTAACTCGGCTATGCAAAGATCCGCTTGATCTTTGCAGACTCGGAAGTAGCACAGCCTTCGCACTATTCCAGACGGCGCCCAGTCCAGTAGCAATGCCACAACCGAACAGGCACATCCTCGGCTTGTGGTTCGTGCATCTTCACGACCTGTCAACTCTAGCCTTTCTGCAGCTCGCCCCAGTGCAAAGCCACACAAACTCCAGCGCGTCCAAGAAACTTCTCCAAGTCGGCCTCGGGATTGATCTTCGCGCAGGAAATTTCGGCGAGGACGGTGTACTCTGCGAACCTTGGCGCTCCCAAAACACCCTAGAAGCCAGACGGCTCTCTTAACTCTGCAACAAAACGGCCATTGCAGCCGAGCTGCGTGGAGCAGCCCATGAAATGGTAGAGGGTCGTGCCATCCTGCCGCCCGCAGCACTGAAACCCCCCCTTCCAACAGCCCGTCACAACAGCAACTCGGCTCGGACCTTCTTGAGTGTGAATCTGGAGGTGCCATCGGGCATGACACCCTTGCCCTGTGTGCCGCGGATCTTTGGGCACAGGTTGGTCTTCGGGCTCATGCAGAAGATGCAGTCGGAGCCCTGCCAGCAGAAAGCGAAGGCAGGGAAGGGAAGGGGAGGGGAGGCGGTTAGGGGTTAGGGGTTACTCTGCGAAAGCTCATTGGCATGGGGCCCCATGCATCACAGAATCACAGCAGCGGCCCGCCTTGCACTGCGGGGTGTATCCAGGGACGATGTGGTCTCCGGGTTTCACGGACAGGACGCCCTCTCCAACAGACTCGACAATGGCACCGGCCTGTGGCAGAATCCAGACACGCTCGAACGCGGTGCTAGTCAATCGCACGCGAGATCACGCGAGTCATCGCAACACGGGCTTCCAATCACTTGTGCAACACGCCGCGCATTGGCTTCTTACAGGAAACTGCAAGGTGCTGGGGCAAGGTTTACGACGTGCTGCTCCTCGCTCCCTGAGCACACTGCTTGTAGTTATTTGGCTTTCGCAACTCCACCCAAACGACCCCCGGCTTTCATGGACCGTCTGGCTTGCCACTGCCAATTATTTTCGCTGCGATTTGGAGCATGCCTTTCCCCACTTCCTTTCAGGTTCATGCATTTATACTCCCCACCCTGTTCGCATTGTTTGATAGTTGAAAAGTTGATTCCAAGCTTCAGGATTGTCTCATGATTTGATGCCCACTGCTTGGATATGCCGCGCCTCACTCATTTCAAGGAGAATGGGTCGATTACTCCCCTCTTTGGGCTTCAATGCTTGCTTACCGACTTACCGCTGCCAATGTGTTCGCCTGTACTTGCCACTCCCCGCTCACGGCGCTGCGCAATAGTTTGCCATCACTGCTTACGGTGCTTTCGAGTGAGGACTCGAAAGGCTCGTGCTTCGCTCTGACAGAAATAGAATCATAGCTCATGCTCAGACAGGGGCCGACATGATGAAAGGAAGAACGCGATGATGATGATGATGATGATGATGATGATGATGATGATGATGACGATGATTATGATGATGGCGATGACTATGACTATGATAATTTCCATGATGCAGAAGAAGAGGAGAGCAGGAGGAGGAGAAGGACGAGGACAATGATGGGGTATATTATACCCTAATTACAATAAGGAGTCCCCAAAATAGTCTAGGTAATTATTTAGGCCCCTGTCTTACTTAATCCTGGCTGCTGGACTTTGTGTGAAAGCTTTTGGGGAGCTTCGATCCATGTCTGAACCCGAGCGGTTTAGGGCTTAGGGTTGTAAACCCTAAACCCTAAGCCCGAATCCTGAACGCTGAGTGCTGAAACCCTAAACCCTGAACCTGAACCCTGAAGGCCCTATCCCCTAGATCTGAAACTTGAGCCCTAAGCCTGTGTAGCTACCAGGGAGGAAGCCTTAAACAAGAAACTAGGGTCTGAGGTAGCAGGGCTTCAAACGGTTTCTATGTGGCTTCGTGGGATCACAGTGTTGCAAAGAGGTCGTGCAAAGGCTTGACAATGACTTTGCAGGGTTTGCAAAGGGCCGTTCTAAGGCATGAAGGGTGTAGTGCTGCGAACGGCTTTCGTAAGGTGGCTTGAAAGCTTAAGGATGAGGGTAATTCTGGACTACTCTGGAACACTCGGGAAGACAATGAAAACCCCAAGAAGGCAGAAATGCGCAAACATGCATCGAACTGTTTCACTGCTCGTAGCTGCTTCTCAGCTCATCTCCTACCGCAGAGCTGCAACCACCGTACCTATGATCGCCCCATGTCACGACGGAGCCATCACCACGAATCGCAGCAAAGGCATACCTGGTTGCTTGAATCTGCTGCACAGTCTTCAGCTGATCTCGCACAACATTGCTGTCACCACCGGAGTGAGCATCGCCCCAGGTCACAACGGAGCCATCCCCGATGATCGCAGCAAAGGCTCCATCGGTAGCTTGAATCTGCTGCACATTCTTCAGCTGACGTTGCACAGCGCTGCTGTCGCCACCGAGGCCGGCATCGCCCCAGGTCACGACGGAGCCATCCCCAAGGATCGCGGCAAAGGCATACCTGGTTGCTTGAATCTGATGCACAGTCTTCAGCTGATTTCGCACAGCACTGCTGTCACCACCAGAGCCGGCGTGGCCCCAGGTCACGACGGATCCATCACCACGGATCGCAGCAAAGGCACCACGAGACGGGCCACGAGTCGCCTGAATCTGCTGCACGTTTTCCAGCTGGTTTCGCACAGAACTGCTGTGCCCACCATAGCGAGCATTGCCCCAGGTCACGACGGAGCCATCCGAAAGAATCGCAGCAAAGGCATGCCTGGTTGCTTGAATCTGCTTGACATTCTGCAGGTGATCTCGCACTGCGCTGCTGTCACCACCGAAGTCGGCGTGGCCCCAGGTCACGACGGAGCCATTTTCAAGAATCGCAGCACAGCCGCCGCTGTGTGTCTGAACGTCGCGCACGTTTTTTAGCTGACCCCATGTCACAACGGAGCCATCTCCCAAGATCGCCGAAAAGCCTGCTTGCTGCCACATATAACGACCCTCCGAATCTGCAACGTCAGCGGCTCCTCATATTTCAGCCTGGACTTCTTTAGCGGCCCTCCTTCATCAAGAACGCTTCCAGCGCAGTTCAAGAGTCGACCTTTGCAAACTCCTAGGGCTCTCTGCGCACGCTTCTGCGATTCCAGGGTTTCGTCCACGTGTGTCTGCAGCGACACGGTCTTGCCACTTATGAGGCTTACCTCAAGTGTAAGCGACATGGTGAAGACCCTGGCTTCGATAACTCTATGGCCAAGAGGGCTGTGTTGTGTTGGGGGTGCCCAAGCAAGTCTTGAGGAGTAAATGCAACTGAAAACTACTTGTGACAGAGTCGACAGGATTGCAAAGTGGCATCGGTAACATTGTGTTGCTGCTTGTTGGCCTCCCCGAGGGAGGAAAGACAAAGTGACTGGACTTCAGGTGGGAGGGAACTATCACTATCATGTTTCTTGTGGTTTACATGCTAATTTGTTTCGGATCATTCTCAACGTGCAAAATATTGAAGCACAGGTACCCGGACCGCTACATCATTGGCAAATGTTCGCTTAATGTGTCCGAGGTGTTCAAGCTGAGTTGAGTTGAGAGCACTTACACTTCAGCGCATGCAGGTAAGGGCTGCGAGGCTACATGAAGAAGGAACGGGCATCAACAGGTTAGCCCCGCTTGGATGCTTACCCCAACCGAATGCAGCAGGACTCGCGCCTGTGGCAAGTCCTTCAGTTCCTACGACAGCCGTTCCCCCTGACTCATTTGTAGAACGGTTTCCTACCGGCCGGGCAGCTAGTTGCTTTTATGCGCACGGCAGCCGCTCAAATGAGCCATCAACCGCCGGTGTTACGATACACCCTTGGCATCACGTAGCATTAGTGACGACACGATGGTGATCGTGATGGTGATGCTGATGCTGATGATGAATGACGACCGATGACGATGACAGCGATGATGCTGGTGATGATGCTGATGATGACGATGATGATGATGATTATGATGATGATGATGATGATGATGATGGTGCTGCTGCTGATGACGACTATGATGACGATGATGATGATCATCATCATCATGATCTTTGTGGTGGCGGTGGCCGTGGCGTGACGGGCAGGTGGCAGTGGTGGTGATTCGTGGCGAGAGCCGAGGGCAGGGGCATTTGTGGGGGGTGGCGGCGGTGGTAGCTGCTATGGATATATGATCGAAAAAGTGACACCACAATCGCACGTCAAGCGGTTTCATTGCCCAAAGCGCTGATCAACCGGCCTCATGTCCCAGGATGGAAGGAAAAAGGCCCTCTGGATCTTGGCCACTGAGCCTGGGCCGAATAATGGACTATACACGTCGGTGCAGAATCATTGGTACATCTTGAGTACGAGCTGCGTGTAGATGTCTGTGTGACAGAGGGCGTTGCCTCGAAGCATAGAAGCCCAAGAGGGCAGAAAGCTCAAGAGTGCAGCCAGGGATCTGAGTGCAGGCGAGGCTCAAATCACTTTCACCCGGACCTCACCGGCCTGCGGAGGGCCCACCACAATCTCCTGCGAAGAGCTGCGGCTCCCCAGCTCTGCTGAAGCTGCAGCTGCTCTGCTTTTAAGCAAAGACTACCGCTTCTCTCTCTCTCTCTCTCTCTCTCTCGGAACTGCAATCGAAAATCCTCCTCTCGCAGGTCATTCACACCGAAGGCAACCATTGCTTTACAAGTGATCGGCTTCCCTGCCGTGTCCGCCATGCTTTCAGTGGCTGGCACCACAAGCAGAAAACTCCTAACCTTTCAGCCAAAACTGCGCCAGAATGTCTGTGCCCTCAGTGGACTCAGCCGGCATAACACTCCAGACACTGCAAACTCCCAGCTTCCCACCTTTCTTTTCTGCATGTCGCCAAAGGCCTCATTTGTATACATGAAATCGAAACTCAGGGACCCAGGGGTCGACTCTAAGAGTGAACGAGTAGGTCAGGCACAGTTGGCGCTGTCGCAGGCGCAAGAGGCGCAGGCGGCGGCGTCAGCGGCGTCTCAGCTGAGCTGTTCTTATACCAGGACGGTGACCCATCGAAATCCGGCAGAACACCGGAATCACTCGAACAGGACTCGCCTGCAATGCAAAGGGCGGCAATGACCGGGAGGGGGCCTTGACGAGTCGAGGCGCGACAAGCAGAGAGACTCGCAAAAGACGAGATCCGCGCCTGCGCCATCTGTCGATGAGCCTCGAGCCTGCACTGCGCTCCCCGAATCCAGACCGCAACTCTGCTAACTATTGCTCAGCTCAGTTTCTCTCAGCATCGCGCGCAACTCCAGCCGCGTTGCCAGTGACAGAATTGACCTCGAACTGAGTTACTCGGATCGACCGACCAGCCTGGCGTACGAGGCTGAAGCAGCCTCGGCCCGCGCTTGTCCTCCAATGTGGATACGAAAAGGATACAACAGCCACACGACCCCGGGAAATACGCTTCTGGACATCGGCGTCCTACAAGCTGCGCATTTCGCTGCTGAGTTTGCTGAAGCAGACCTTCACTTCAAAGCTCAGGGCACAGGCATGCCACACACTATACTCCTCGCAAATGTAGCATGTGAATGAAGAGACGGGGTGTGGCCTTGCATCTGAATCAACAGCTGCATTAGCTCCTGGCAAGCCAGATGCGGCATTGGACCAGCCAGCAGGATTTTCTGCTCCTGCCTGGTTTTCGCGTTCGAGTCTTTCCATCCGGCTCATTACCTACGCTGCGCAATGTTGCAGCACAAGCGCTTACAATTGTAAAACTTGACAATGTCCCCCTCTGGGCCCCAAGCCATCTGGAAAGCTTCCAGTTGCCTTCCGGAAAGACCTTTCATGGCCTGCAGAAGCTCGCAGACCAATGCACAACCTCAACTGCTTATCAGCAACTGCATTGCGCCACGTCCCAACTTTGCTTCCCTGCATCGACTGCATGCTGGCATTTTACCAGCCGGGATTGTTTCATCGCCGTCCGGAGCAGGTGCGGACGCTGAGCCAATCCACCCAAGGATGTGAGACGGCACGATGTTGGGAAAGTCGACAACACGGAAGCTCATGGGTTGCAGTCCAGGTAGCATTGGCTGCGTGCGACCTCCGTTACATGAGCATCGAAGTACATGCTTTCCTTCGTGACTCAGAGGCTCGGGCATCGATGAGGCTTAGCAGCTTCTCGCACGCCGCAAGAGCTGCCACAGACTTCCACACTTCCACCGCTGGCAGTGCTGGTTCGATCGCTGCTTGCAGCAACGTGTCGGGATGACATTTGGACGGGCCTCGCAGTCAAAGGTTGTTGTTTCCACCGCTCCGTCAAGCAAGATCTGAGAAGAAGACACTCCCGCGACGTCGTCCTGCCATGATATTGTGCCCTCTGAAAGTCTACAAGTCAGCCAGCGTACTCGAGCAAAACGACAGCAAACCCCAAGGCCCTGTGCGCTTCCTGGAGCAATCCCGGATGCAGCGGATGGTCAGACAAAGCTTTCTGTCTGCATTCTCCTGGCAGCTCTGTTGGCAGAGGGAAGGAGCCGTCCACACCTCTGCTCTACAACCCCACAAGGCACTGTACACTCTACACATGCACTCGCGAGTTGAAGCCGCGGCTTCTGTACGATGTCTCCCGGCCGAACGATCTCCAACGACTCTCCAGCAACATGGAAGCACAAGCGCGTTTTCACATGCCTTGAATACTCCCATATCAAACTCATCAATCGAAAGGTACGCCCCTTCACAACTGCACCGCATCCAAATCCAAACTCGTGACCCGTGAGGCATGAGGAGCGGAATAAGATCCCTCTGACGCTCTCTCTCTCTCTCTCTCTACCA